GCTTGCTAGGTGGCCAGGGAGATAAACAGATGTGGAGAATGTGCAGTCTCTTCCTCCGTGTAATGTAACCCATCACTTCTTTTTTTTACTCACTCTGTCGCCCAGGCTGGACTGCAGTGGTGTGATCTTGGCTGACTGCAACCTCCACCTCCAGATTCAAGGGATTCTCCTGCCTCAGACTCCCGAGTACCTGGGATTACAGGTGCCTGCCACCACACCTGGCTAATTTTTGTATTTTTAGGAGAGATGGGGTTTCACCATGTTGGCCAGGCTGGTCTTGAACTCCTGACCTCAAGTGATCCACCCCCCTGAGCCTCCTAAAGTGCTGGGATTGCAGGTATGAGCCACCGTGCCCAACCGATTAGCCAATCACTTCCGTTGTTGCCCTGACATCTGGCGGATGATTTGTTCACCTAGCCAGGATCTCAGGGCAGAGCAAGGGACTCCCCAACAGCCTGGTTTTAAGGTTTTACCTTCTGATCTTGTTTGTCTCTTCAGATATCAAGTTAGCTAATCTTTTTGCTAACCTCCTGGTTCACATTTTTGGAAGCGTTTCTCTGAATGTTATAATTTCTAGGGGAATAAAGTCAGGAAGAGGAGGCAAAATTCAAACGAAGCCACGGCACAGCAAGTGCTTTTAGTGTTCGATTGGCGGGCAGCCAGGGTTCTCTGAACTCACTCATCCAAAAGGCCACGTTCCAGTTGGTAGTTTTCCCTCTGCTGTTCATTCTTTTTAGTTTCCCCTTTAAGACTTTTCTGATAGGAAAATTTTCTGTGGAAGAGATTGTCAGGGGCTTGATGTTGGTGAAGTGTGTGGCCAGACCTTTCTCAGACGTGGTGTGGTTTGAAGGCACTAAATGCATTCTTGCACAAGGGTGCCTCCTGGTCCCATGATCTAGAGCACGCACTTGAAAGGCCAACCACACACCCATCTTTCCTTGGGTCCCTGTCAGTCATTTGGGGGGGAGTGGGTTAAAGTTGTGACTTGCTAACACCCTGGGTGGTTAATTTGCCTCAACACAGAATTACACACAAAAAGCCCTGCACTGCACTGTGGGACCATCTCGGAGGGAGGCTGCTGGGACATGTGCTGGCATCACAGCAGGTGGGCAGGCTGTGAGGAGGGCTGTTCCCCACAGGCGCCCTGCTCCCAGGAGCAGGACAGGCTCTTTGCTGTGACTGAGGAGTCCTGAGGGCTGATGGGGGAAGAGATACACCATCCCCCCCGATTCCTGACTCTACCCTGCCCCAGGACCCTTGGCCGCCCGGGGTAAGGGCCACTGTTCTTTCATATCCTACCCCCAGCCTCCCAGTGCACCGCTCCCCTCTGCTGAGACCTGAACTCCCTTTCATCTGGGACAAGTTCTCTCATTCAATGTGAGAGCCATGACTTAGAGGGCTAATACCCAATGGACAGGGCATGCAGTCAAGATAGCTCACCATAATGAAACAGAACAGCAGGAGGAAGTTCCTTGTGGGGAGGAGCAGGAAGCAAAGGTCACAGCACTGTGGGGCTGGGGTGAGGGAGAGGGGGCCAAAGCATATCCCCAAACTAAACAGCCTGCTCAGTGTTTTGTGTGGCACCAGTTTCTTTACCGTAAGCTCTAGTCTGGCCAGGCACAGTGGCTCACACCTATAACTGCAGCACTTTGGGAGGCCAAGGCAGGTGGATCACTTGAGACCAGGAGTTCAAGACCAGCCTGGCCAACATGGTGAAAATGCATCTCCACTAGAAATACAAAAATTGGGTGCCCAGCCCAGTTTTTGTGTTTCTAGTCAAGACCAGCCTGACAAAGATGGAGGTCGAGGCGGGGGATCACGAGGTCCGTATGATGGGATATAAACTATGTATGTGAGAGCAAGCTTAGCAGAAAGTGAAGCAATTAAATCTTTTTTTTTGAGACGGGGTTTCGCTCTTGTTACCCAGGCTGGAGTGCAATGGCGCGATCTCGGCTCACTGCAACCTCCGCCTCCTGGGTTCAGGCAATTCTCCTGCCCCAGCCTCCTGAGTCGCTGGGATTACAGGCACGCGCCACCATGCCCAGCTAATTTTTTGTATTTTTAGTAGAGACGGGGTTTCACCATGTTGACCAGGATGGTCTCGATCTCTTGACCTCGTGATCCACCCGCCTCAGCCTCCCACAGTGCTGGGATTACAGGCTTGAGCCACCGCGCCTGGCCTGAAATTAAATCTTAATCAATGGGGAAGATTTATAAGGAGCAGAGGTTTTTTCTTATTGTCGTTTTTGGGTTTTCTTTGAGACGGAGTCTTACTCTGTCGCCCAGGATGGAGAGCGGTGGCATGATCTCAGCTCACTGCAACCTCTACCTTCTGGGTTCAAGCGATTCTCCTGCCTCAGCCTCCTCAGTAGCTGGAATTACAGGCATGCGCCACCACGCCCAGCTAATTTTTGTATTTTTAGTAGAGACAGGGTTTCATCATGTTGGCCAGGCTGGTCTCAAACTCCTGACCTCGTGATCCACCCGCTTCGACCTCCCAAAGTGCTGGGATTACAGGCGTGAGCCACCCTGCCTAGCACCCAGCAAGGAGTAGAGTTTTTAAGCAAGTTCCTTGGCTCTCACTGGTCGAACCCTGGGAGGTGACGGTTTCTGTCACCTGTTGCCCCCACCCATCACATGCTGCTGGAGTTCTGCTACCCCACGCCGCCAGCAGCAGAGCTGCCATGACTCTGTCTCTCTGTTCTAGGATGCTATCCTTTCCCTGCACACTGGCTTGCTCACAGACTTGCTCCCGGATTCTAGGGCTGAGCCTTGGGACTGCAGCCCTGTTCGCTGCTGGGGCCAACATGGCACTCCTCTTTCCTAACTGGGATGTGACCTACCTGTTGAGGGGCCTCGTTGGCAGGCATGCCATGCTGGGAACTGGGCTCTGGGGAGGAGGCCTCATGGTAAGTGCCTGGGGTTCCCTAAATGTGAACTCCCAGAGTTCCCCGGGGGTGGAGCAGGAAGGTGGCACGGGAAGTGTTTTGCTTCCTTACAAGAAAAGTTTATTCTAACAAGCTGGTCTTGGGTCTGTAGAGGCTCTCAGAGACAGGACCAGGAAGGTCGGTGGGGGGAGGGTCAGCATCCACGGTGTTAGATCAGGCTAGTCATCGAAACTTGGGTCCCCGGAGTTCATGTGATGTGCCCAGCCACTCTATTTCAACAGCTGTGGGCAGCAGTCAGAAACAGCTGGAAAAGTAAATTTCCCAGTCTCAACATTCTCCTCTCTCCTCCAGGTACTCGCTGCAGCTGTCCTCATCTCGACGGGCTGGAGATACGGCTGCTTCAGGAAGAGTGGGCTCTGTCGAAGCGTAAGCACCAGATTCCACTTCCTAGCGCCGGGAATGTCTCCACTTCTACTACTCGAGAGGCAGAGTGGTAAAGAGGCGATTTTGGTCTTGGGGCTTGAAGTCAGGTCCTGACTGTGACCCTCAATAATGCTAATTTCTTGGGCAAGGTTGCTTAATCTTTTCAGTTTCAGGTCTTCATCTGTAGCCTGGGAGCTGAAGTCAAGGGAGCAGTGCTCAGTGAACCACAGATGCCTGCGGCAGTGTGAGGAACTGTTATATTCTTAGCCTACTGGACACATGGACACGAGTTATGACACTAATCATGTGTCATTGACGGAAATTTTCCTAGTTATTTTAACTAAGATTTTCTTAGAAAAGTTTTCCAGAGATCATCTAATCACTAGATTCTAATCTAACCCCACCATTTTACAGATAATGAAACTGAGGCCCAGAATAAATTTATACTTTATGAATTACAGCAGCAACTGTATAAACTTGAAAGAGCTCAGTATGTGTGTGTGACACACACGATCGGTCTCAGACATGAACCTGTGGCCTTACGGTAACTCCATAGCCTGCTCTGATATCTGCAGCCCACATGCTGGGAAGCCTGCTGACTCAGAGTTACATGTTAAAAATTAAATATAGGCTGCGTGGTGGCTCACGCCTGTAATCCCACCACTTTGAGAGCCTGAGGTGGGCGGATCACCTGAGGTCAGGAGTTTGAGACCAGCCTGGCCAACATGCTGAAACCCATCTCTACTAAAAATACAAAAATTAGCTGGGCATGGTAGTGTGCACCTGTAATCCCAGCTACTTGGGAGGCTGATGCAGGAGAATCACTTGAACCCAGGAGGCAGAAGTTGCAGTGAGCCAAGATTGCGCTACTGTACTCCAGCCTGGGTGACAGAGTGAGACTCAGTCTCAAAAATAAAATAAAAATAAAAAAAAATAAACAATTTCATTCGCTGTCTGTTCTGTCACCTCTGGCTTTTCTTGAGGCAAGTAGTTCTCACACTTGAATGTGCATCAGAATTGCCTGGAGGGCTTGCTAGAGCAGGATTGCTGGGCTCCATCCCTAGACTTTCTGGTTCAGGAGTGGATGGAGTAGGAGGCTTTGCATGTCTAAGAAGTTCTCAGGTGATGGGACAGCTGGGCCAGGGACCCCATTTTGGTGACCCCTGCCCTAGGCTTACTAATGCACCTTGAATCTTTCAACTCAGAGTCCAAACTTACTACCTACCTTTCTCTGATCCTCCCCAAACTCCAGACCAGCTTGACAGCAGTGGGAAAATGACTCTATGACTCTGCAGAAAAACACTAGATGTTATTCAGATTTTTAAAATATACATTTTTGGAGGTGGGAGAAAAAAAATCCAGAACCCTAAGAAATAAGCCACTGTGGAAGCAGGCTAGAAACCTGCCAAGGAAGGAAAAACAGTTACTTTCCGGAGGGCAGCAAGAGTTCAGACTGACCACCAAGGGAGCTCTTGGTGGAGGGACACAGTGACAGAAGTGGAGTCATTTCAGAGTTTTGCTGCGGCTTCTGTCTCTTTCTCTCCCTCCCACTTCTCTCCTTCCCTTCCTTCCCTCCCTTCCTTCCTTTTATAATTGATTTGAAAAAGAGAAGAATCAGAGTTGGGGGGCTGGAACTTTTGAAAATGCAGCTTTTCCTTAGAAGAGTCGGAGGTGGGCCTGTGACAATGAACCTGCCTCTGTAACTCAGAGGCTGATGGCTGCGATCTGCACACAGCTTTGCTGGGCCGCTCCTCGCAACTCGTGGGGCCAGAGCCAAGTGCCTGCGTTTCTCCTTCTCAGTGCTTTCTCTCCCAGCCCTTCCTGGCTTGACCTAGAAGCCCTCACTGGCCTCCCCACCTTGGGTTATGCTTGAAAGGGGGTGCCATGGAAAGAACCCCCCCCCGTGACAGGACGGAAGTTAGAGCTGTGCAGATCACCCCACAGGCTCCTCAGCGGCAACCCCGTCCATCTCAGCTCGCCATCTCCCTCTCTCCGCAGGTGTTCGCTGGTCTGCTGTCAAGTGGCCTGGCTTTACTTGGAGCCCTGATTTGCTTTGTCACTTCTGGAGTTGCTCTGAAGGATGGTCCTTTTTGCATGTTTGATGTCTCATCCTTCAATCAGACACAAGCTTGGAAATATGGTTACCCATTCGAAGACCTGCACAGTAGGTAAATGGACAGAGGCCTGAATTTGCAGTCTTTTCAAAGAGAGAGGGAGAGAAGCAGAAAGACACACAGGTGAACTACAGGCTCCTTTGGGTCACACATTCTAGCATCTTGCTTCTCTGATGCTCAGAAAATTGCAAACGCAGCAGTAACGGTCACCCTCAGGGGCCCAGTCCTCTGACCCGGTCAGGGGAGGCCCCAGTCCTCTGACCCGGTCAGGGGAGCCCCAGTTTGCTACTGGTGTTGCCTGTTTGGCTTCCTTGTCGCCCATTCCCTGGTCTCCTTATTTCTTGGGATAGCAATTATCTGTATGACCGTTCGCTCTGGAACTCCGTCTGCCTGGAACCCTCTAAAGCTGTTTTCTGGCATGTGGCCTTCTTCTCCACCCTTCTGTGCGTCAGCCTGCTCCAGCTTCTTCTGGTGGTCGTTCACGTCATCAACAGCTTCCTGGGCCTTTTCTGCAGCCTCTGCGAGAAGTGACAGGCAGTATCTTCACGTTCAAGCATGGGTGTTTTCATCATGGGCTGCCTTGAGTCCTTTCTACAAGGAGTGGGTACGAATTACCAACAAACTCCCCCTTTAGGCATCTCTGGAATAATGATAACAAAATTCACTGCATGTAGGTTGAATAATAAAATGCATTTTAAATCACGTTGTGAACTTCCAGGTGATGCATGGATAGGATAAATAATTAAGTCATTATAAATGTGTAAGAATTTATAGTCCATAAAATGTCCTCCAGCGTGGTCTCATTTCTGCTTCTTGACAATCCCATATCCTGGCCATTCGTTACACATAGAGAAGCGGGGGCTGGCAGAGGATAGCAGGTTTCTACATGAAAGCACACAGTGAAGTTAAGACGAAGTCAGCAGCCGACCCCCAGCTCCCTTTTTGTTGTTTTTGTTGAGACAGGGTCTAACTCTGTCCCTCTGGCTGGAGTACAGTGGCACCATCACAGCTTACCGTAACCTAAAGCTGATGCGCTCAAGTGATCTTCTCGCCTTAGCCCCTGAGTAGCTGGGACTACAGGCACACACCACACCTGGCTAATTTTTGTAGAAATGGGGTCTCACTACATTGCCCAGTCTGGTTTTGAACTACTGACCTCAAGTGATTCTCTGGCCTTGGTCTCCCCAAATGCTGGATTACAGGCATGAGTCCCTGTGCCTGGCCCCAGCCTCCGTCTTCTAAATTCACGTTCCCATTATTACGGACTGAATAGTGTTTCTTCCAAATCTGTTGGTTGGAGCACTAACCCCCAATGTGACTGTCTTTGGTGATGACACCTTTTTTTTCCAGACAGTCTCACTCCATTGCCCAGGCTGGAGGGCAGTGGCGAGATCTTGGCTCACTGCAACCTCCACGTCCCAGGTTCAAGGAATTTTCCTGCCTCAGCCTCTTGAGTAGCTGGGATTACAGGTGTGTGCCCCCACGCCTGGCTAATTTTTGTATTTTTAGTAGAGACAGGGGTTTCACCATGTTGGCCAGGCTGGTCTCGAACGCCTGACTGCAAATGATGCACCCACCTTGGCCTCCCAAGGTGATGGGATTACAGGCATAAGCCACTGCCCCGGCCATGACGGCACCATTACATTAGTAATTAAGGTTAAGTGAGACGGTGCAGTGGCTCACGCCTGTGATCTCAGCACTTTGGAAGGCCGATATGGGAAGGCCACTTGTGACCAGGGGTTTGAGACTAATCTGGGCAATATAGTGAGACCTTATCTCAAAAAGAACAACAACAAAAAAAAAGAGTAAATGAGGCCATAAGGTGGGACCCGAGTTAAACAGGACCTGTGTGCTTATAAAAGGAAGACAGAACAGAGCGCTCTACACTGGCTCAAAGAAAAAGCCCCCGTGAGGGCACAGTGAGAAGGCGGCCTTCTGCAAGCCCAGAGGAGAGGCCTCAGGAGACACCAAACCTGCTGGCTCCTGGGTCTTGGACTTCTCGCTTCCAGCACTGTGAGGAAATGATTTCTGTTGCTTAAGTGGCTCAGTTCGTGGTATTCTGTAACGGCGGTCCTGGCAGACGAATATACCAGTGTTCTCTTCACTAGTGCTCAAGAGAGTTCAACAGCTGGAGCCAGAGGAGCACCACCTCCATCTGACAGTTTGGACATTCGTCCTCACTCAGATCTCATGCTGAATTGGGATTCCCAGTGCTAGAGGTGGGTCCTGGGGGAAGCTGTCTGAATCATGAGGTAGATTCCTCACAGCTCGGAGCTGTCTTTGTGATCGCGCGTTCCTGTGAGATCTGGTCATTTAGAAGCGAGTGGCACCTCTGGCCTCTCTCTCTCTGTCTCTCCTGCTCCTGCTCTCACCATGTGACTCGCCCCTCCCTCTTCACCTGCTGCCCCGGGTAAAACTCTCTGAGGCCTCCCCAGAAGTTGAGTGATGTGGGTGCTATGCTTCCTGTAATGCCTGCAGAACCGTGAGCCAGTTAAATCTCTTTTCTTTTTTCTTTCTTTTTTTTTTTTTTTGATAGAGATTTTTTCTCTTTTTTTTTTTTTTTTTTTTTTTTTGAGATGGAGTCTCCCTCTGTCGCCCAGGCTGGAGTGCCATGGTGGTGAGCTTGGCTCACTGCAACCTCTGCCTCCCAGGTTCAAGCAATTCTCCTGCCTCAGCCTCCTGAGCTGGCATTACAGGTGCCTGCTATTACGCACAGCTAATTTTTGTGGGTTTTTTTGTTTTTTTGGTTTTTTTTAGTAGAGATGGGGTTTCGCCACCCTACTACTCAAGCAATCCACCTGCCTTGGCCCCACAAAGTGCTGCGATTACAGGTGTGAGCCACCATGCCCGGCCATCTCTTTTCTTAATAAGTCACTCTGTCTCAGGTATTTCTTTAGAGCAGTGCAAGAATCACCTAGCACACAGTCTCTACAAAAAATTAAAAAATTAGCCAACCATGGTGGTTCATGCCATTGTCTCAGCTACTTGGGAGGCTGAGATGGAAGGATCACTTGAGCCTGGAAGGTCGAGGCTGCAGTGAGCTGTGATCACCGCACTGAACTCCAGCCTGGGTAACAGGACAGCCTGCCCAAAATCAACCCGTCCAAAACCCAAATAGTGTATAATGAGTACCCACCCTGTGCCGGGCACTGCCATACATGCTGCGATCCAAAGGTGCCCAAGACATGGTCCCTACCCTCAGATGCTGCCCTTCCCCTGAGCTCTTGTTTAGGTTGGGAACAAACATCTACCAATCATTCCAGCATCATATGCTAAGGGTCATGTTAGAGCTCACACAGGTGCAACGAGAGCTCAGTGGAACAGCGAATCTGCCGGGAGAGTCCCCAGAGAACTCAAGGAAGGTCTCGCTTGCACCTGAGTTTGTTTCTTTGGCGAGTCGGCCCAGCAGAGAGGGACGGGAGGGCTTCCCAGCAAAAGCAACAGCATACTCAGAGACACAGAAGGAATCCACAGGCTAGTGGATGGACTGTGATGCCACAGCTGTTTTTTTTTTTGAGATGGAGTCTGGCTCTGTTGCCCAGGCTGGAGTGCAGTGCGCGATCTCTGCTCACTGCAACCTCCACCTCCCAGTCTCAAGTGATTCTCCTGCCTCAGCCTCCCAAGTAGCTGGGATTACAGGTGCATGCCACTACGCCTGGCTAACTTTTTTGTATTTTTAGAAGAGTTGGGGTTTTACCATGTTGGCCAGGCTGGTCTCCTGACCTCAACTGATCCACCCACTTTGGCCTCCAAAAGTGGTAGGATTACAGGCGTGAGCCTGCGTGCCCGACCTCACAGCTGCTTCTCACACAGCACCTGAAGGCAGAGCCTCCTCCTCTCCCACTTTGGTGTTTCCGGTCAGGTCTGGCCCTGGGTGGTGAGAAGAGTCAGAGAGGAAGAAGGAGATGCTGGTGGGAGATCATGGTTTAAAGACAGGAAGAGGACAAGGCAGGCAGAAGCAACCTGGGAAGAACCAGGCAAGAAAAGTGGTGGGCAGCCCTAGAAATGAGTTAGACAACCCCAGCTTCTTAGCAGTGGCTCGCACCTGTAATCCCAGCACTTTGGGAGGCCAAGGTGAATCACCAGAGGTCAGGAGTTCGAGACCAGCCTGGCCAACATGGTGAAATTCAATCTCTACAAAAAATACAAAAATTAGCCAGGCATGGTGGTGCATGCCTGTAACCACAGCTATTTGGGAGGCTGAAGCAGGAGGATCACTTGAACCTGGGAAGTGGAGGTTGCAGTGAGCTGAAATCACACCACCGCACTCCAGCCTGGGTGACAGAGGGAGCTGAGGCCATGCCACTGCACTCCAGCCTGGGTGACAGAGGGAGATTCCGTCTTGGGGAAAAAAACAACCAACCAACCAAACACACCCAGAAACAAAGAGCACCCAGGCTCTGCTGGAAGGGAACATGGGGCCCCGGTGCTGTTCTCTCCCCTCCTCGGTCCCCGAGATCCCAGCTTGATTCCAGCACTATTCCATGTCAGCGAGGAGGTGCTGAAGCACTGGAGGCCTCCAGAATACAGGGGTGCCTGTCTCTCCCGGGCCCAGAGGCACGGTTCTGTCACAGTCCAACCAGCAGAGCTCGCAGGAGGCAGGTCCCTTCAAACACCACCTCACCTTTCCTCTCCAGGGGTGCTGGCCTAATGCGCCTGCTGGGGTGGGGAACGCAGACAGAGAGGCCTGTGGGAGACGTAGGGAGGCACAGCCTCTTGGGCAGGAAGGGAATCTCCAAGTCCAGACAGCACATCACACTCAGCATACAGCATCCCAGCAGCTCACCCGCGCTTCTCCCATTTCCCTGTTGGCTGGTTTAGTTTCAGAGTGACGGCTAGGATGTGCATGATACGTAGAAGTTTCTCTTCCTGGGGAAAGGTACTGACACCTCCTAATAGAGAACTTAAAGATAATTTATGGCCAGGTGCGGTGGCTCATGCCTGCCAGTCCAGCACTTTGGGAGGCCGAGGCAGGCGGATCACGAGGTCAGGAGCTCAAGATCATCCTGGCTAACACGGTAAAACCCCCTCTCTACTAAAAATACAAAAAATTAGCCAGGTGTGGTGGCACACGCCTGTAATCCCAGCTACTCCAGAGGCTGAGGCAGGAGAATGGCTTGAACCCGGGAGGCAGAGGTTGCAGTGAGCCGAGATCACACCACTGTACCCCAGCCTGTGTGACAGAGCGAGACTCTTATCTCAGAAAAAAAAAAAAAAAAAAAAGGTAATTTTTGTCTAATTTTGGATGTTAGGCATGTGCACACAAGTGCCTGCACACTCATACACACGTCATCTCTTCAAGCCCCATCCCAGCTCAGCCCTATTCTGATGGGTCAGCAGGAACCCAGGGTGAGAAAGGTCAGTCCTTGGCACTCAGACAATTCAGTGGTTAGCTGACTCTTTCTTGCCTCCATTCTTTCAGGAACTGCATAGTTCCGTCACAGAACCTGACAGGGATTCAAAGGACAATATCTCAGCTGGGTGTGGTGGCTCATGCCTGTAATCCTAGTATTTTGGAAGGCTGAGGTGGGATAATCGTTTGAGCCCACGAGTTCAAGACCAGGCTGGGCAGCATGGTGAGATCCTGTCCTGTCTCTACAAACACTAAAAAGATTAGCCAGTCGTGGCGGCGTTCGCCTGTAATCCCAGCTACTCCAGAGGCTGAGGTGGGAGGATTTCGTGGGTCCAAGAGGTCGAAGCTGCAGTGAGCGGTGAGTGTGCCACTACACTCCAATCTGAGTAATAGAACAAGACCCTGTCTCAAGTTAAAAAAAAAAAAAGGAATCCCTGCCAC